TTGTATTTAATGGTTTCAAACCCTGGCTACCATCTTTTGTCCAGCAACTCCCAGGGATGATGGCAGGTAAGAAATAAAAAGACAAAAGTTAGTCAGAAAGCAAAGAAATGTAGTAGTATGAATACATAAGTAAACTAAATGTGCGTGCTTACAAATAGAACAAATGTATCCAAACCAATCAATGAAGTTATTGGCAACTAAAATGTATTACTATGTTCAAATGAAGAATGAAAATACAAAAGTTACTGACTTTAGAGTGTGGCCACGGGTTTGGCCATCACAGGTACAACCAACAGCATAATACCTACCATATGTAAGTAACTTAATTGTTGTAGAAGAAGAGCATTAAAGAAAATTTAAAGATAAACTTTGGATGAAGTGTGGTATTCGTTCTGCTGCAAGAAATATTCATCTTTTATCTGGCTACAGTCCACAAGCTGCTGCATTAATGGTTTCAGATGCATAATGTGGCCATTGGGCAATTGCTAACAGTTAAACAGGTAGCACCAACATGTGTACTGGCTAGGTTAACATTCACAATACTTGTTTAATAATTCAGTGCTGTAAAACGGGAGCTTTACTGACCTCTGAAATTCCTCCTAAAATGTTGTTCACTCTTATGAACGTTAACTACTTGAAGGGGCTGCATGGATGACTGTGCGTGAAGATCGGCTGGAGGAGGCAAAGACGGCACTGTTTGTATAGAAACAGTTCCAAAAAGGACAGCAGGACACATCTAAAACATTTAAACACTTGCTTGTTAAAATGCTGCTGCTTGGTGGTGAAAGTTCAGTTTTGGAGATTGTAATTAAAAAATGTTCCTTTAAAAATAAGACAAAAAGAAACGCTGTTTCTAATGGCTCCCTTTTAAGTCCTCAAACAGACTTTTTAAGCTGAGAGCATGCCTTTAATTGATCCCCAGTTGTGGGAAAGTAGATGCCTTTACTTTTCTTTCTAATACTGTTATATTTAAGCTGCTCATTCTAGCTACATTTTAAACTAAAGGATTATTATTGCTACTGTACATAGTAGCTATAAGACTAACAGCCACAGCAGAGCAATAATTCCAGGCAAAGATTCTCCAGACGCTAACCCGGGGAAATAAAGGAAATCATTCCCTTTAGGCAAAGCGGTACCACTCATCACAGAATAAATCCCGCATTTTCTAAAGATTTATGAAATGTTGCTGTTAGAGGATCTCGCTGTGGAGCTTTTGTCTGCCGCGTGTATGGTAGCCAAAGACAGGCCATGATATAGAATGGGACAGTGAACACGCATGTGAACAGAAATGCATAAACATGAGGTGAAACGCTTTGGCTGTTGCAGCCTTTGCAGTCATGTACAGAGACTGTGTGCAAAAGTAAAAAGCTATTGTGATGATGAATAGGAAGCTGTTAGCGGCAGCACGAAGCACTCTGTTTTCAATACAAAAGGAAAATATAGAGAAAAAAAACCTATCCAATTTACCATAAAGATATTATGTGCATGACCCTCTTTGAGCGAGCGTGTGCTTGTAGGCCTATTGTGCTGTGAAATAGGACGTTGCTCTGCTCGTTTCCATTCAAATAAAGACAGTTCTGTAAGTGAACACGCCCGCAGCAGAATGCCGATGAGTTTACCAAATGCGGTGCACACACTGTACGCGAAGAAACACACCACTGTGCTGTAAATGGGGATGCTGTGTATTTCCCTGTGTGAAATAAAGGCCACGAGTGACTCTGTGTGTGTGTGAGAGAGAGAGAGAGAGAGAGAGAGAGAGTGCTTGTGAATGAGATGCTGTCACAGAGATAGTCATTGTATCTAATGCGGTGGAACTAATGCTATGCCATAGTCAACAACATGTTTTGCTCTGTTAACCGTTGTAATAGCTAAGCCAGCTGATGAGCTGGAGGTCTAACACTACTGTATGTTTCAGCTTGGCCATGCACGGTTAGCATCTGCAGCTATTGGAGCAGAGGGCTCGTGAAGCATCACAAAAAGTGCTCATTTCCACTCTTCAAAGACATACATTTGAAGATATTTCATTCCTGCGGTTCCCTCACCAGAAGGCACGCTGCTCTCAGTCCTCTCTGCTGTGAGTTAACCACATTGACCACAGATTAAAGACAGCCTCTTACCCTGCCTCAGACGCCCCCCTGTTAGAAGTAATTGTTTTTGCTAAGTGAGCCTCCGCCTAATTGGGGAGCTTGTAGAGTAGGAAGCAGCACTGGTCCAACCCAGTATCACGGCAAAACATGTAATAGACACAGCGCTCCACCATGTCTTTTTCACGCTTTGCCTCTCCAAAGTGTAAAAAAACAACAACAGTGGACCGGCATGTCTGTTGCAAGTTTTGGTGCAATATCGGGTTGACTGGTCAGTGTGTCTTATGCAGGGGAACTGATGTCTTATGTAACTCCTAGCAGCAGTTTTTCCCCCTGCTTCATTAGCTAGGTTAATTGCTGAAAGCTGATGTCGCCACACCTGAGCAGAGATCAATGATCCAGGTTGGAGATATGTCTACTTCACAGCTGACGTCAAAGCGTGCAGAGTTTAATTGATTCTAACAGCCAAATGTATATATTTGCCTGATTGTTTTCATTGGCCTTGCTTTTATTAGTAATGTGTAATTTAATGTCAGCAGTTAGTTCAAAGAAAAAAGTGTGCTGCTTTTCTGATAGCGCTCGGTGCCAGTCTAAATCGTTTTCTTTCTTTTCCTCACAGCCACACTTAGTAAGTAAAGCTAAAGGGACTATTGACTTTGGGGGATTGAATAAATGGTTATATTCTCAGTGAATCAAGTAACCTCTAAAGAAAAAAAACGTAAAATGTAATTACGTCCAAGGTGATGGCTTCATATCGCTTGATTTGGCTGCCCCCCCCCCCAAAAAAAACAAAACAAAACAAAACAAAACAAAACAAAACAAAACAAAACAAAACAAAACAAAACAGAAAAAACAGCAAAAGCTACAATTTTCTTTTACAATTACAAAAGAGACAAAACAAGCAAAGCAAACGCTTACTTGACAAAGAGACCAGCACAATTAAAAATAATATACAATCAATGGACACTTTACTTTTTACTTTGTACATTTAAGTACAGTGAACTTGCTATCTTCAGGAAATTATTTTATTAGTTGAGCTTTGTGACATGTTGATGTTATCCTGCTGGAAGCAGCTATCAGATGGTACCCTGGTCACAAAGGGACGGCCATGGTTCCTTCATGACCGCTCAGGTAGGCTGTGGGATTTAAAAGATGATCAACAGGTACCAAGAATATGTCCCCCATACCGTTACACCACCATCACCAAGCTGAAC